ACACACACACACAAATACATTTGATTTCAATTGTTTTTTAAAATACATAAAAGAACTCACACAGGGATGATGCTGAGCGTTGAAGGAGCTGCTTACCTGCTGCCTCGTGATTAAATTACCAGCTGAAGTCTGCAAAGCAACGTCTGCTAACAGCTGCTGTGGATGGATAAGATATACTTCTATTTATTCTATTATTAAATTCAATTTCAATTTTTGTCACAGGGCTAATACACAGAGAGAGAGACAACCTGTTGTGCTCACATTCACACCTAAGACCTATTGATAATCAGTCTAACAAGCAAGTCTCTAGACTGTGGGAAGAAGCTGGAGTACCCAGAGAGAGACTATGGAATTCTTTCTGAAAAATCAGGGAATCATTTACACAACTAAAATTAATCCAGAAAGCAAGAAGAATGTAATTATGATGTGTTTTTCAGTCTGGACCAAAGTGCTGGATAACCACTCTGAGAGTTGTTGTGCAAAAGAAAGGAAAAAAACACAAACAGCTTTATCTCACTCCCGTGAAAATGCTCCTTGGCTACAAAAGCAATTCACTGTTCATGTTTGCGTCTTTTTCAGTTCCCACCCATTAGCTCACATCCCTGCTGCCTCTGGTAGTAAACCAAAGCACAAGTACGCCTCATTTCACAGTTTTAATTTACTGCAGAGGCTCTCAGATATTAATTACTTGGTGAGGTTTACTGATGGCCAAATAATTAAGCTAATGAATAGGAAGTAAAGCAATCAAAAGCCTGATGGGGAGCGGTCACATAGGCCCATTTTAATTTCCAAGAGCAACGGCATGATGAGTTTGTGCAACCGCAAGAGGCTTTTTATTGGACCCCCATGTAAGGGCTGTGATTAAGGAGCAGACTGGAGGACATGCAGTGTGGTGAAACTTAACCCTCTCTCAGACCACGGTCACATATTTATATAGTGATTAAATGCATTCTTAACTGGTGGCAGTGATTTAGCAGTGCTTTTAGCACCCTTATGAGGCTCTTGGCTGTTCTGTCTTATATATATATAAGAAACTTAAGAGACCCTTAAGAGCATCACTTGTTAAAAAATATACTTTTAATATGAAAATCATGTATATGTTTGTGTAGGATAAATAACAGAATAATTACAGCTGACATCAAGTACAAAGAATCACCTTGACATCAAACTTTATCGAAACAAATCTGATAACATATTCATAAAACTGTGTTATGAGACCTCTGCTGAAATATTCTCAGTGCAAATACATAAGCACTGGGAATATTTCCCAGTGCTTATGTATACATAAGCATTCATGCCATTTGTGCAAGTTTTATTTTAAGTGACAGTAAAGGATCAATTTCATGAAAAAAAAAGACCTCCAGAGCTTCTGAGGTGAGGCTGTGGTAAACTATGAGGACCTTCTTAGTGGTAATACAGCGGAAATCTCTGCTCAGAGAGACCTCACAGAAGATCAAAGGTTTTATAACGAAAGGGATCAAATAAAGAAAGGTGGAAGCACACAAGGATACGAGTTTTAACACGTGGTCAGGGCTTTAACAAATCTGGTTAAGATCGAAATGATGATTAACCTGAAGCAGCATCAAATCCGCTTTTTTATTTATTTATTTAGCCAGTGTTTAACTCCAAAGAAGTTTTCGTTTAACTTTGACTTGATTTAATAGGAGTGAACGTAACACGCCTGCAGAGTGAGCCTCTATCAAACCGCAGCTTTTAATTTGGCTGATGAAAAATCTCGCGAATCAATAGGAGCTCATTTAGTTGTGTGACTTGTCAGCTCTATGACGAATGCCATTTGGCCCATTTTATGACAGAGGGCCCTCTGACACAGGACGCGCGCGCGCACACACAAAATCACAGCTAATTGATAAGGCAGCGGAGGAATATATGGAGGTCATTGATTCTGTTTCTCCTCTAATTTAATCTGAATACACTGTGCGTGTTGATTAAAAAATTTCCCCCCTCGCGTAAATTACACTCACCGCTGATAACGCTGTCACTTTCCGGCAACAAAAAGTGCTGACGGGCTCCTGCCTCTCTCTGTTTTTCCCCAATAATGCGCAGAGAGCCCGCGTCTTTCTATAAAAATCTTTCACTGTCTATTGAATCACTCAAGTCAGCCCGTGAGACGTCAAGAACGGTTTACCAGAAACCCCCATTTTCATGGTTAGACAAATAAATTGGCCTCCTTCTTCTTTTTTTTTCTTTTTTTTTGCTTTGTCGGATTATAAATCAGCGTGCCCTTAAAATATTTACACCCTGTAGTTTAATCAATCAGCAAAATGCCGGACTCATTACGTAAATATGAACAGATTGTGCGATCTTTTAACGTAATCACACGTACCGCCGCAGGTTTCCCTGGGCCCTGTCCTGTCACTTAACTAATGGACAAGTAAGGCTGCAGTGAGCGACGGGGTCCCATAAATCCACATCTGTCCGACTTAAAACGCTGTTCTAAAGCACGAAAAAGGGCACTTTTTTTCTTTTTTCTTTGCCAGTAAAGTTTATTGAAGAGGCGTTTTAGGGGTGAATGTATTCATGGGCGTCATTTATTATTGCAGGAAAAGTAGGGTGAATTAAGGCTGATTGGGACAGTTTTTTTGAATTTCCGTCCCGTGTAAATGTTCGTGTCATAAATTTACTGAATAAAAAAATAAATAAAAATCATGATGGATTTCTGCAACAATGGAGAGGCCGTCCATCTGTGTGAGGAGGAATGAAGGTTATCTCACTTTTCAAGGAGACGTAAACTGACACCAGGCCTGTTTTCTCTTTAAGTGTTTGGATCTTCTGGATGATTGTGACAACCTTTATCATTAGTGAGGAAAAGTTTTTTTCTTTTGTTTTTTAATTATAATACAATCTAATTTTTCGGGCATATTAATTTGCTTTCCTGCTCATCATAATTTTTCTGATTAACTTTATTAAAATATAAAGCCACACTCTCACAACACAGTGACAGCTGGATGCTCTGATGTCAAAGCTTCCAGTCATGCCAATCCAGAAAAGGGCCGTGCAGAGGTCCAGTCTGAACTGTAGAAGCATGGGTTATGATAACATGGCTGTGGTTAAGGTCAGCAATGTCTTGCTTGAAAAATT